GGGCGCCATTGTCGGTTCCAAGCATTCCTTGGAAGGCTTTTGGCCCTAACTCATAAATCTCTACTCCTGGGAGAGTTCTATGGGTGTTTGAGTCTCGAAGCTGTACCAAGAATAGATGTACTCCATAGTCGCGCCCTGAAATAATCAGTTTGGCAACTACAATTCCGTGCGTCGCCCAAACTCCGGCAGCGCCGATCCAGTACTTAGTACTACTCAATGTTGGTGAGTTTATAATAAACTCATCATTGTCCGCGCTGAATGTTGCAGTGGTTTCGATCCCTCGTACGTTGGATCCGTGGCCTAATTCGGTCTGGCAATAGCAGCCGAGGATCTCGAATCGATCTGCTCTAGGTAGCCAGATCGCCTTCTGTTCGTCTGACATTTGTCGCTCAAGATTGGACCTAAAAATTCTGAACTGAGGGTGGATTGGCATCATCCAGTCAGTCATAGCAATGGCGTCCATGAATTGAGCGGTTGACCACCCATGCCGGAGTTTCAAATCCACGAGTTCCCTGGATTGAATGGCGATACGAGTCCAGACATCCTTGCGTGCAAGCGACTGCGGGACCACTGTATCTTTAGAGAACAGGGGATGACTTGAGAGCGTGTCAATGGTGGCCTTGCGTCGATCAAATCGCTCCTTTCCTCCCCAGAGAAAGAGGGCAAATGAACTGTCGATGGCCTCCTGGGGCACAGGAATTCTTCCATGATGACTTCCACCCATAGTCCCGCCAACTTAATCGGGCAGCTAGAGAAAGGATTCACAAGACCTAAACTGTGTTGTAGCGCAAGAAACGATAACAAGAAGATAAATTTTCACAAGTTGAGAAGGTCGAACACAGGAATGGGTGGGAGACATCAAAACAGCGAGCTGCTGCCGAGGAAAGGAATTCGCCGAAACGCAAGTCAAAATTCACCGAGACGCAGGACTGACACAACCGATAATCTGAACATCTACTTAGTGAAAGATCATGTGGAGACGAATTACAGCTGCCCGTGGCTTATGTTTGTTTTACTATCATGAAAGTATACTAGGTCTTTCCTGATGCCGTCAAAAACCTGTCTAAGGCACTTCCAACGGCGACTGGGTCCTCAACCACACTCCAGTGGCCTACCTTCTGCAAGACCTCCAATTTTGCGTTTGGGAGACTATTGCAAAGATTTTGACAGGCAGTGACTGGACTCACCTTGTCCTCGTCGCCCACAAGAATGAGAGCTGGCATTTTGAGGCTCCGTAAATCGACTTCAAGGTTGGACGCCTTGCCCAATCCTGTGCAAGCTTTTGCATATCCCTCAGGGTCTTGACTCATTAGAATAGCTTTCACAGCGCCATAAGCCGAATGATTGATGGTTTTTGTAGCTTGAGAAGTTCCATTTGTAGCAATTGTGTCCGCAACTGCCTTCATGCCTCCAGCCCGGACAGCAGCGGAGCGTTTTCGCTGCCCTTCTGCTGCTGCATCAGGCACTGGATAGCGTGCGGGGCCCAACAGTACCAGCTTTTGCACGAGGTCAGGATATTGGCTTGCGAAGGTCAATGCAATCAATGTTCCCATGGAGTGGGCCACGAGTACAGATGGGCGGTTGTTCAAATGCTGGAAAAGTGCCGCAAGATCTTGCGCGTAGCTCTGGATGGATATCACAGAGGTGGAAGCCGTAGGAGAAAGTCCATGGCCCTCGATGTCGTATCGCACGGACCTTGCTGCCTGAGCAAAGTGAGAAGTTCTGAGCAGAGGCCCGTAGAACTCAGTTGAACCACCAAGCCCATGCACAAAGACAAGCTGTGTCTCGCCTTCGCCCGTGATCTCCACGTTGACAAACTTGGAGCCAACTCTCGTCAGACCCGAATTGCCTGGGCTTCGACTTGTGTTGTAAAATGGTAGCGTTGACGGTGCAAATAGCTTGGACGTCGCACAGTTCACTGTGTCGAGGAGAACTACTTGATTGCGTAGGGTCCCGAGACCTGTGGCAGTAACTTCAATCAAGTCTCCGGGATGCAGAAACGACGGCGGCGTTTGACCAAATCCCACGCCAGCTGGTGTTCCTGTGGCAATCACATCTCCTGGCTGAATAGTCGCCCCAGCAGTAATGGTCGCGATCAATCGAGAAACCGAAAAGATCAGTTCATCTGTAGTGGCGTCTTGTCTTTTTTGGCCATTAACGAATGTCTGGATTCTCAAACTTTTAGGGAGGCTGCTTGCTGGAACTGCCACTGGACCCATGGGGCAGTATGTGTCTCCCGACTTTCCAAGGTAGAATTGCTTATGATCACGCTGAACTTCACGCGCTGTAATGTCGTTGAGTAAGGTGTAACCCCAGACATAGCTCATCGCATCCTTTTCGTCGACATGTCGACCAGGCTTGCCAATGATCACACCGATCTCGCCTTCGTAGTCCAGCGTACTTGTAAAGTGTGGGTCTAGCTCAACAGCAGCTCCTGCTGAGATAATACTCGTACTTCTCTTTGTGAAGATGACAGGATGAGATGGCTGAGCCATCTTATCGCTTGAGTCATAGCCGCTGCTATGAAACTCTTTGGCGTGTTCCGCGTAGTTCTTCCCTACAGCAAGAATGTCGCGTCCGCTGAGAGGCGGAAGAATAGTGACTGACCCCAAAGGAACGCAGGTATCATCATCGTTAACTTCGTTCCCTAGCTCAATAACTTGATATAGAGTCCTCACAGGCGCACCCGAAGGCATGTTGACGGGTGTAATTTGCTGACCTTCGAAACTGACCTTGCCGATCCGGCTTTCGCCTGACGAATCTTTGTATGCCACGAAGCTCGTTGAGCCTAGAGATTCCCGAGACAACTGTGGGCCCTGGATTCGAGCCTTCCAAGTCAGCCGTTCAGCTGTGGTCATGAAATCCTTTTGAGCAGCTTTGTGTATCCTTCCATTGATCATAATCAGGTTTAGTTTGCTGTGGTCTTGTAGTATCCTGATGTTCTCGAGAGGATCACCATCTACCAATATGCAATCGGCCAGGTAACCGGGCCTAATCTGCCCCAGCTCATGTTCTCGCATAAATAACTTGGCAACACCGGCAGTTGCAGCGAGAAGAGACTCCATGGGGGTGAAGCCCAGCCAGTTGACAAAGTGCTCCAGATCTCGTGCATAGGTTCCATGTGGAGTCCAGGCAAATCCATAATCTCCTCCGCTGGGAACAATCGTCAGCAAGAAGAGCGGCATTCGAACATTGAAACTTACGGCAGTACTGTTATGCCTCGTTGATGCATCTCGCTCAGGACAACTTTTGCCTTTGCAAACTCCCTCTCATAACCATCCCTCTCCTCATCCGACATCTTGTAGCCGTAGGACTCAGACTCGTAAAGTGTTGCGTAGAGCCAATTGATCGCAGGGACTACCATATGCTTGCTTTTGTTTTTCTCTAGCATGTTCAGGCCCTCGTCGTCGGTCCAACTTGCGTGAAAAATGATATCAACGCCATGCTTGACACACATTTTGACACTGTCGCGAGCCCTATAAGCGAAACTTGATTAGAGTACCGTATCTGTGTTGTTTGTCATTGCATCCATACCTAGCATGGGCACAAAGCCTTGTTCCTCGGCCATGTGCCACTTCGACACAAACTGCTGTCTCTTCATCGCTATAATAACATTTTTCCGACGATAACGGCTCGCAGATTTCCTCCCCAGACATTGTGAGTTTGACTGTGTCAGCACCAATATCAATATGACGATTTACTGCCTCGCGCATCTCATCGGGCCCGTCCGCAATCACAGCAAGACCATTTTGACCAACCGCATCCTGTGGATGAGTGATTTCCTTGCAATTAGCAAGATATCGCGGTCCTGGTAGCTTTCCCGCGTTTATTGCATCGCGAATCACGACATCAAGCCGGTCTTGAGCCGAAGCTGCACCAAAGCACCTAGTGGGCGTTAATGACCAACTTTACTTCGGGATGCGCTGTTCCAGTGCACAACAAGAAACATGACTTACATGGTATACCCGCTGTCGATCGCAGTCTTTGCCGATCTTGCCGTTAACAAGGTGTGCTCCTCAGTCCCGAGCCCTGCTAGTGCTGGGATGTCTCCAGAGTTCCAAGTCAAGTGAGTATGTGCGTCTCCCAGGCCACTCATAAGGGTCCTTCCACGTCCTTGTACGACCTTTGTCTTAGGATCTTGAATAAGTCTTTCCAGTGTTGGAACATCACCGACTTGGGCAATTCGATTGCCTTTGATGAGGACGTCTCCTCGGTACGGAGGGATTCCTGTAGAGTCAAATATTTGCACGTCAAGAAAGATGATGGTAGAGTCATCCGGAGTGCCTAGTGTAGGCAGTCTAAGTATCAGCAACCTTCGCAAATGATGAGTGAAGGGATGTTCATTACCTTGGATTTGATAGTCCTTGGGCTTAAGAGCAGGATCAAAATGCACGGCTTCCCATGGCTTTCTAGGGGTGTCAGCCATCTTAGCAGCCGAGTCCATGGCACCGTTGACAAGTTTCGCGTTCAAAGCCTCCTGGGGTTGTATGGGAGTTTTGGTGCCCAGCACATTTTCCGCAAAGACTTCACCTTCCATAACTGAGCTTCAGTGTTTGTCCCAGGAATTACAGTATGACAGGCTATTAGGGACCAACTGAGGTCTAGTAGATAAGCATCATTGCTAAGATGTATGGCCTACCTAGATCTCTGCCTATCTTGATCTCAGGAGCAGATCCGCATACAAATCGGGCGCCCTTCCAAAGGCATGTCCCCCAGGACCTTCGCCGAAATCCTCTCGTCAACTTCCGAAACAGGACTCGTCATGAAACATGTCTATCAATACCAAAACGAGCCATCTCGGGATACTTGGCAGAGCCAACCGAGAGGACAATGAATGGGTCCAACACTCAGAGTCGTTTAACGATCGGAAATGCTGAATGGCTTTTACTGCCCATGCATCCTCTACAGGGTTCATTTCTTTCACATTGAAAGAAGGCACTGGTGGGCGCTCTCTCCCTCCATCAAGCCTCAAAAGGGTCCAATCACAATTTACATTCTCCATGACCCACACCCCCGACACCATGGCCAACTCGGCCTCTGACTTCGCAATACGCCAAAAAGAGGAAATGCCGATGAAGACAGCCGATGAGATGGCACTTGATCACAAGAAGCTACTATGTTCGTCGGAAATCCATTGATCAATTATCCTCGGCTATTGGCGTGCTGATTTGCCTACAGGGTTGGTGATTGACAACGAAGTCTACGATTGCTCGAATTTCGCCAAGAAGCATCCTGGTGGCGAGGCCGTTATTCGAAGATACGCTGGAAGTGACTGCTCTGTCCAGTTCTGGAGGTTCCACAGAAGAGAGCATTTGATGCTGTATGGTTCTCCTCTAAAAATTGCAAAGACAAAGGGTGTAAGAAAGGCATACGACTCGTCCGATCTGCCTCCACCAACGATGTCGTTCAGCAATACCACTTTCGAGTACGATAGCGAATGGTAGCCTTTCGAAGGATAACTTTAGTGCCAGTTATTCATGCAGCTAACGGCGATATGTTGAGACTTGATCCACTGCCCTAGCAATGTTGTTGCACACTCTTTTTATGTTTGTAGTCCTCAGTTTTCTTGGGCCTCTGTCAGGATTTCCCTCTACAGGTGTGTTCTACGCTCATCTTCGAACATGGTCGACCACACAACTCTTTCAGCATTCCGTGCCCAGCTATCGAGCAATATTCTCCCAAACGATCACCTATTTCTACAACTCCTAACACTCTCTCATGGGAAAGGAGCAGGAAAGCCATTGATACGGGATCTTAATTTAGCCATCGAAGCAAATGCAAACATTCTTCTTAGTGATGTTGTGGTTTTCCGACAAGTGATTGCGGATAAATTACCTCTGAAAACCATCCAAGAGTTGCATCATGGCAATGATGTCTACATTAGCCTCGTTGCCAGCGGTGGGTACGAGTTTGCGGTGGGAATTCTGGCAATTCTCGCCCTGGGAGCGTGCGCCACGTTGCTCAGCCCTTCGATGCCTCCAGGTGAACTAGCTTACTACATCACTAAAAGTCAATCTGTCATGATCCTGTTCTCTGGAAAAGGGCTCAAACCCGTCGGTCAGCTTGAAAAGCAGATGAGAGAGCAGGGGGTTGAAGTAGTTGCTCTGCCAGTGACACCCGCAAGCTTGAGCACTGCTAAGAATGCCTCCAGCAAGACCGTATCTCTCTCTCAGATTTATATCTCTCACAATAGTCGCCCAAATCCGGATAAGCCAGGAATCATTATTTTTACCTCTGGCACAACCGGCCCACCCAAAGGAGTCGTCCTCCCACGCTCGACGATCACCACAGGAGCACAGTCTCTGGCAACTCAGCTGGAATTGCACACAGGCGATACGCTACTACACCTGCTACCGGTGCACCATGCCTCTGGAGTAAACCTGTCATTTTTTCCTTTCCTCCTAGCTGGTGCATGCATCGAGTTCAAGACTGGGGGGTTTGATCCCCAATGGGTGTGGGATCGATGGAGCCGCGGAGACTTGACCCATTTTACGGGAGTTCCAACCATGTACACGCGACTCATGCGGCATCATGAGCAGCATATTGTGAAATTGCCGCTTGTCGATCAGAACAGATACCGTGAAGGAGCATCACACATCAGGACAATGTTCTGCGGTACTTCCGCGCTACCGAAGACTATCGATCAATTCTGGAGAGATCTCCGGAAAGGCATTCCAATTATACAGAGATATGGTTCAACCGAGACCCAGATTGCTATCAACATGCCTCTGTCCGGCTGGCAGGGTGTTCCTGACGGCAGCATCGGCAAGGCATCGGTTGGTGTTGAGGTGAAAATAGCTGGAGTCGCAGATGATGGTGAAGGAGAATTATTAATCAAGTCACCACATATGTTCTCTGGCTACTTGAATGACGAGGAGAACACACAAAAGGTTCACGATGAGGACGGCTTCTTTAAAACGGGAGATATCGCCAAAAAGAAAGGCGGATACTTTTTCATCCTAGGTCGTGCGAATATCGATATTCTGAAGTCCGGTGGGTACAAGATCTCTGCGCTTGACATAGAGCGCGAGTTATTGGCCCTGGATTATGTGGATGAGGCGATGGTGGTCGGGGTGGGAGATGAGGAATTTGGCCAGAGAGTCGCTGCCGTGGTGACACTGCGAAAAACCTCAAAAGATATTCCAAAGAAAGTCAGTCTAGACTCCTTGAGATCCGATTTGGGGACTCGACTAGCAGGGTACAAGTTGCCCACCCTTCTGCGACTGGTTGAAGGGGAACTTCCAAAAAATGCCACTGGCAAGGTGGTCAAGAAGGTATTGGGGCCCAAGTACTTCCCAAGTAACTATTCCCAAGACGTTCGTGTCCAAGTCTGGCAACCAAGGAGATCGCTAGCTAGGGATAGCGCGAAGTTATGAGCGTAATTAACATGCTGGTCTCCTTCCGGACTTTGAAATGAACTAAGAGAGAAGATCGGAGAAAGAGGGGGGGGCGATTGAAAGGGAGGAAATGGTGGTTCAGATAAATAATAAGAATGCAGATTAGACGTCCCATTACAGTCAGCTCGTCTGGTTCTTCGTGTTCTAACTTAATTCTTGCTTCCTCCGAGCGGCGTGAAAACGATATCGCAAAACCCGCCTTTGGGCATTAGAACCCAATTGTCGATCATATCCATGGTATCCTTTTCCATTCGGGGACCCAATGAGAGTTCCCATCCAAGGAGCAGAGCGCCCAAGACTGTCTTCAATTCCAAGGTTGCCAAGTGTAAGCCAGGGCACATACGCGAACCTTTGGACCAAGGCAAGCTTGCGTCTCTCATTTCCTGTGTTCCGCCATTGGCCCACCGCTCCGGCTTGAACGATTCCGGATCTTCGAAGATGGACTCGTCGTGGTGAACAGTATAAGCCTGGATACCAACAGTTGTCTGTCAAATACATTGTTAGCAAGCACAACGAAGGAGTTGTAGAACGGGCAGCAGACGTACACCTCCAGGTACAAAATACTCGCCTAGCATATCTCCACCTGGTGGGACATGGCGAGGGATGCTTCCGACTGCGGGTCCGTGTAGCCTTAATCCTTCCAATGCAGCCCCTTCAAGTAATGGAAGAGATCTTATATCAGCATACCGAGGCACTCGCCCTCCCTGTAGATTCAGTCTGGCCTCTTTCAGTTCAGTCCTCAGTCGCCCTTGTAACTGAGGGTTAATTGCTAATTCCCAACAGAGATAGGTCAATACAGTTGCTGTAGTGTCTGTGCCAGCAACAAGAATGCTGCCGATCTCCAGTGCAATCTGTTCGTCTGAGAGTGGGGGAAGCTCTTTGTCTCCGTGAATAATTTTCCTCAAAGCGTCCTGTCTTCCCGAGTTGCGCCCGTACCTCTTCACGTAGTCCTGAAACGAGGAGCGACCAAGGTCGTAGATCCTTCTCTGAGCTCCAAGGTAGTGCTGCCATCGTGGCCAAGGAATCCACGAAGTGAGTGGAATCAGCCAGGGGATCTGCCATTTGAGTCCTGCAATGATGAAATATGTATCTACACTCTCCATGTACTCGTGATTTTGCTTTTCTAGCGAATGAAAAGGCTCACCGAGGAAAAGGGAAGAGACAATGTCAAGCGTAAGGCATCGAAACCACATGTAAACGTCCATAGCCGAGCCGTTGTGCTCGTCGACTTTGCCTAAGAACATGTTGATCTGGTCAACCACAAGACCCTCGGCTTGCATTATTGTGGTTTCGGTGAAAGCATGAGCCATCAGCTTTTTGCGATCACGGTGCGTAGCTCTATCGCGGAGTGTAAAAAGTACAGGCTCCCCATAGTCATCAAAACCTGTGTAAAAAGGAGTCTTGAGATAAGAAGCCGTGAAGCCATAAATCTTCTTGATGAGCTTGGGATCTGAGAACAGTAACTCGTTTGGGGCGGTTCGCACGACAGGACCATAGCGTTTGTGCATTTCATGAAATGTCGCCGTTTTGTGGCCCGTGAAGCCTTGGTATTCGAGCCATTTGCTTGTGAACTTTGCAAGAAATGGGCCAGGGACATTTCTTAACGGATGAAAATAGGCATTGTAGCAGGCCTAGAACGAATTTCTCAGCGATGATCATTGCCTCAAGCAAGTTGCTCACCTTGCCCAAACACCACACAAGGAAAGCGATTCCTGCTGTTAGGATCCCAAACTTAACGTTTCCATTGTTCTCCGCCATGTTGGAATCGTGTTTATCGTCTGCCAGTGCAAATTGTTCCTGGCTGTTCTACTGCACCCTCTCAAAGCTGGCTTAAAAGTACCCTTATTGGCGAGCTGGCGGGGATAGCAAGAGCGGGGTGATTTCTGGGGATCCGAGGCCATCGTCCGGTCGGGGAACCTCTTTGTTCAAGTCCGGACCAGAAGGACGGCTCATAGCGAACTATACTAGGATATTACCGAAGTAGGGTCCAGGTTCGGCCATCCAATCCAAAAAGTCGTATTTGCATTTTCTGAAAGCGAATGATCCATCACATCGTCAGCTACTGCTCGGTTTCCTGTTTCCGCGGGTCAATTACTTCCTCTATAGCATAATCCGCGCAAAAGTCGAGACCTTTGTCCCAGGCTCAACAAACCTCCGGCATCTACCACAAGGGGCATGGCTTTAACAGAGAAAAATAGGTCAGATCAAGTCTGGCTTTGTCATGCTCCGCATCCATGGTGCCTGGGGGAAACCTGGGGTAGTACAGATTCAGATCTATATGGAAGCATTGTGTTGTGTTGAACGGGACTAGTAGCTCGTAAGGATATAAGACCATGAACGTAAGGCGGAAACAAAAGGCCAGTTCAATCAAACACGGACTTCACTTTCTCATTCCCATCTTGAAGCTTTCTTTGAGTATTATATTTCATCATGAAGTTTCATACACTCCATGAACTCGGTCACACCGTGCGTGAGGTGACCCTCATCGACATGGAACGAACTGTAAATCCGCACGCGGTGCATAAAGGGGCAGATATCATTCTCGTCCCCCATCCTTCGGACGATGTCAACGACCCATTGAGACTGCCTCAGTGGAAGAAATGGATTGCATTCATCAATGTTCTGGTATTCGGGTTCATGATCAACGCTTGGATTGGCGGCCTCTTTCCTGCCTTTTACACGCTCAGTCAAGACTTCAATATCGACCTAGCTACCACAGCCGGGTTGCTGACCTGGTGTGTGTTCACGGCTGGCTTAGCCGTGAGTTGCTCCTTACCATTGGTCAGCCATGAGTTGATGCTGATATCGGATACAGTCTTTCTTCTGGGCTCCAACTGCCGAGTACTTGGGCAGACGACCGGTGTTCCTTGTTACCTCTCTAGGGATGTTTTTATGCGAGATTTGGTCAGGGGTCGCCACTAGCTACGAAAGCCTGCTTGCCAGTCGTGCCCTCGGAGCTTTCTGCGGTGCTTGTACAGAAGCTTTGGGCGCAGTTGTTGTAAATGTAGGTTACACTTCACCCAGAAGTGGAGGGATATGAGTGCTGAATAGATATACCAGGATCTATTCTATCTCCACGAGAGAGGATCCAAGATGGGCATCTATGTGATTGCTCTTTACTTTGGCAATTCACTTGGTCCAATATTCACAGGTGTCATTGTACAATGTAGGTGCTACTCACACGCAATTCTTCGTTGTTCACACGCTCATCATGCACAGACGGAGATTGGCATTGGACTGCATGGGCTTCTGCCATTGTTGGAGGCTTGAACTTCATTGTCTTTATCTTCTTCTTTCCTGAAACCAGGTGGAACCGTTCTATCAATGCCACCGGCGCAAAGGCCAAACATGTTGACAGTTCCGCAACATCAAATCAACCTGACATTGCCGAGAAGGAGGAGCCAGTTGAAGTTATTGAGCATGCTAATACTCATGAGAACGTGGAATTATCCGGCACCAAAAAGACATACCTTCAAGAACTAAAGCCCTGGTCAGGCAGAGCCAGCCAATCTTGGATTCTCCATATTTTGCGGCCTCTGCCTCTTTTCGCCTACCCAGCGGTTGCCTGGGGTGCCTTTGCATGTAAGATTTTGTCCTCCTTTTGCCTGATATGGTACTAACGACTTTTTCATAGATGCTGTCTGCCTTGCCTGGCTTCTAGGTGCTGGCACCGTTACGTCATTTATCTTCGAGAATGATCCGTACAATTTTGGGACTGCCACTTCCGGGCTCGTCAACGTTGGCGCCATGAGTAGGTCAAGAGCTTGTCCTTCATGATGTTCAATACTAAATTTCAAACAGTTGGCAATGTCACTGGGGCACTAGCTGGAGGCCTGCTGACAGACATCTGGGTCAAACGTTGCGCCCGTCGCCGTGGTGGCAAGTTTGTGCCAGAAGACCGTTTGGTTCTACTGATCATTCCCTTCATCATCGGTCCAGCGGGACTGCTGATGTTCGGATTCGGGGCACAGAGAGGCTTACATTGGATGGTACTGTACGTTGGATATGCATTCATCAGTATATCCCCAGCTGCAGCCAACATCGCCATGACATACGTGTTGGACTCGTATCCAGAGGTAGCTCTTGAGGGTATGTTGATCGTCAATGGCGTTAAACAACTTGTTGCCTTTGGCTTCACTTATGGATTCACACATTGGGTCTCGAGTGTCGGGTATCAAACGGTGAGTCTCGCCTGATGATCTAAATGCGGGATCTCGACTAATCCATTGATAGGTATTCGGGACAATGGCCGGTATTTGGATGTTTGTTTTATTGACTGCAATCCCACTTTATATCTGGGGCGAGCGAGTGAGGAACTACTCCATTAAGAATATGAAGGTGATTTTGTATCATCAAGAGTAGACACAGTGGGGCACGTTTCAAACATGAGATCTATTGCAGACTCTAGCTAGTCAAGTAATCGAGAGGAATCTTCCTTTTCTACTGCCAAATATGAATCGGTCAACAAGCGCGACCTTAGACGCAACGGGTCAGATAACCCACTGTGACCAATGACTTATTCACTCAATCATATCGCCTTTCAGCTTGCTCAGAGGACTCTATCCAAAATCAAAATCAAAATCGACTGTCTTACTTTCCCATCTAGACGGAGGATTGATTAAAATTAGTAGTACAGCCGACAACTCCCTGATGATCGAACGGGAATTGGCGCTCAAGGTCTATCATGATCATCTCGGTCGCCAGGTGAGACTTGACGAAACTTTATGCTCTAACAACGAGACCTTGGTCAAAGAAAAGACCAAGACACGGAACTGCCACAACAGGAAACGACGAAATGTGAGCCTACGTAGTAGTTATCTATCGAGCGGCAGAGGGCACAGAGTATCGCTCATACGCCTGTTCAGAGAAGTCTATGGACAGTATTTGTATCTAGATGTAGCTATGCTGGCTGATGAGACTACAAACTGATCAACACAGCTTTCAACTCGGTCCAGGCTTCAAAGGCGAATTGCGAGTACTCCCGGCCATCACCGCTGCTCTTCCATCCTCCGAATGGCATGTCTATCGAGAAAGACGGGGAAGTGCAATTGATTCCACACATGCCAGCTTCGAACTTTTTGGCCACGCGGAGTGCCCGGCTAATATCTTTGGTAAATACCGAAGAGTACAGGCCAAATTCAGTGTCTGTAGGCAGTTAGCAGCGGACTCCAAATCAAGAAGGGATGTTCTCATACCATTGGCCCGACTCATTACTTCGGCTTCGTCTTCGAAAGTGTTGATCACCACCACAGGACCAAAGATTTCCTCTTTCACGACAGAGTGGTTCTCTGGGGCATTGGTGATAATGGTGGGTTCAATAAAGAAACCCTTCTTGTTTTCGGCTTTGCCACCAAGAATCACGTCCAGACCGTCAGCATCAGCACCTTTCAAATATCCCAAAATGCGATCATATTGTGCCTTGTCGGCTTGTGGGCCGCGAGTGGTTGCCTTGACGAGCATATCCCCCGATTCGCCAGAATTTTTAATTGCAGCGCTCATTAGACTTGTGAATTTCGATGCAACATCCTTATGGACATAGATTCTGGACACGGATCAGCTTGCATGGCAAGAGTTCGGTCGAACGAAACTTACCTCGTTGATGCCACACAAGCCTGCCCGCTGAGCATCAGCATTGATGCAGTCGCGGCGGCGGCAGCTTTTTCAAGATCCGCATCTGGGAAAATGATCAAGGGAGATTTTCCTCCTAATTCCAAAGTAACCTTTTTGAGGTTGGACTCTGCTGCAGCCTTTTTGATGGCTCTTCCAGCCATCTGAGACCCTGTGAAGGAAATTTTACGGATGTCCATATGCTTGGCGAGTGCTTCACCGCAAGGACGACCAAAGCCTGAGAGGAGATTGAGTACTCCCTTGGGAAGTCCTGCCTCCTGGCAAAGGCGACCTATGAGAGCCACCGACAGCGGGCATTTCTCGCTTGACTTTAGTACCAAAGTATTTCCAGCGCTAAGTGCCGGCCCAACCTTGTTGATAAAGGTGATCAGAGTGATATTCCTGCTATTGTCAGAAAACAGCTCAACTGAAATCATTGACTCGGAAAGCCTCTTACCAAGGAATGATGGCTGCACAAACACCAAAGGGTTGTCTCCATGCCATGTTGACGAAGCCTGGCGAGTTCAATGAGCTTGTACCCTGAACATCCATGGCCTTGTTGGCATAGTAGCGAAGAACAAATGCTGCAAAATACGCATTGCAGACTTTTGATGATTTCATGTCAGCACCCGGCTCTAGCGATGCTTAAGGCAACTTACAGTCAGAGATTGGTTTTCCCATGCATATTGCGTCCAAGTAGTCCAACTCTTCGGCATGAGCTTCAATACAATCTGCAAGTTTCAGAAGAATCCCTGTTCGACCAGAGGCACCTAGGCCTTCCCAGCCCTCGAAAGCCGCTTTAGCGGCTTTGACTGCAACATCTACATCCTCAGCACCAGCCTCATAAACGGTAGCCGCTAACTCCTCCGTCGCAGGGTTGTAGATGTCAAAGGTCTTGCCACTCTTGGGCTTGACGAATTCTCCATCGATGAAGAGACGGGTTTCTGGCTTGTTCTCCTTGTAAGACGCCATTTTCGTTTATTTTTTCGATCTCGTGAAAAAAAGGTAGGTATCTCGGATTACCCTAGTCAAACCGACCTAGTTTCCTTTATTCATGATATACGAATTACATCGTCCACAATCACTTCATCTAGTACGGAGATAATCTCTATCGCCGGCTCATAGCTGATTGTGGGCCTCAAAACATAGGGCAAGCGAGAAAGCGTCGACATCGTCATTTCCTACTTTAGTGACGCTTGGCTTACAGATAGATCATACATCCATGTGCTCAAAATCTTCGGCAACATCAAGACGCCGAAATGGGATTCTCAGCACGAGTCGGCAAATTCCTTTTTCGTTTTACCCACAGTTTTCGGGCCCACGATTCTTCTTCTCCTTCCGACATGGCAATGCGGGTCGCAATCCCCACCCAGGAACGATCGCCAACCCCGAACTTTGCCCCGGCTTTTCGGTAGTCTTCCCCAGACCCCTCCCTGTCAGAGGTTGACGCTCGAGACGAAGTTGTCGGTCTATTCGGCAACGGCATCTATGATGAAACGGGGACGCCTGAGTTTGAAGTGGTATCGATCACAGCGGGTACATGACTAGGATACTGAATCTCGAGCTACATTGGACTAAACCTTAACACTGCCGCTCTTCTATGAATATATATGGTTTCATCGTTAGCTTCGCTGGTTTTGATTAGTTTGTGAGAGATTGAGAGAGCCCACGTACAAGTCCAACAACAAGATGAACGGCAACAGCATTGCTATGCATCCCAAGGTAGCAGAACATCCTGTGATTCCCACAAAGCAAAAGGCGGCAGTAAGGGAAGGAAGCGGGAAAGGCGCCAAAACCGTTATCAAAGAGATTGACGTTCCGACGCCGGGTCCAGGTGAGATACTTGTCAAGATCAATTGGTAAGTGGCATCGTAAACACTCTCAAAGCCTCGCTAGAACTCCACTAGGTCTGGCCTTTGTGCTTCAGATAAATGCTTGCTCCACGATGACTGGGCTGCATTCCAGTGGGGCATGCAAGACTCGTCACAAGGCATCCTTGGACATGAGGGCGCCGGTGTCGTCGTGGCTGTAGGTGAAGGAATGGATAAGAAGTGGAAGATTGGGGAAAGAGCCGGAATCAAATGGATCTACAGCACTTGTGGAGACTGTTACTTGTGCAAGGATGGCGGTGACGATGAGCTCCACTGCGCCAACAAGAAACATCCGGGCTTCAATCAACCTGGAACCTTTCAGCAGTATGCGCTCAGTGATGGCAGATATACAACCAAGATCCCGGATGGTGTGACAGACGAAGAGGTCAGTGAGGAGCCATATCACGACAGCGCCCTTCTGGGACACATGGCCGCGTCTCAGCCTTGCTAACTGCTAACATCTAATATAGGCTGGTCCTATCATGTGCGGGGGTGTAACTGCATACGTGGCATGCAAACGAAGTGGAGTCAAACCCGGGCAGTGGATCGTGATTCTGGGTAAGTCAGTCACCACAGGAATATCGAGATAGTCTGATCGATGAATATAGGCGCTGGTGGTGGTCTCGGACATTTTGCCGTGCAGTACGCCCGTGTGATGGGAATGCGAGTAATCGCCGTGGACGGCGGGGACGAGAAGGCTCAATTCTGCAAGGATCTGGGAGCCGAAGTCTTCATTGATTTTCTCAAAACACCTGATATTGCCGCACGAATTCATGAAGTCACCGGCCATGGAGCTCACGCTGTCATTGTGTTTCCTGCTGGCAAAGAAACATATGCTTCGGCACCAAGCTATCTTCGGGTTGGTGGGACAGTAGTCGCCATTGGCCTTGCCCCTGATCCAACAGCAGTTGCGGGTGCTCATCCCATGCTTGTCATTGGTATGAGACTAACGTAAGTTCATGACTCACATAGCATATCTGATTCTGACTGACCTCATTCAGTATCCAAGGGAGCACTACTGGTACCTTGAAGGATGTAGACGAAGCGCTCGGCTTCACTGTACGAGGTCTGGTTCGCCCAGTGCTGACACGAGGCAAGTTGGAGGATCTTGACAGTTTCTGCGAACAATTGGCAACAGGTAAATTGAAGGGTAGAGCTGTGATCAAGCTAAACGACTGAAGAACAGTCCGTTCCAAGTATCTTAATAGCTGCTCAATCAAGTCAGTTTCGAACACTTCAAGGCTCGAGCATTGGTCCATTGCGATCGTCCGAGAATGAATCTGCTAGTTCAGCACATGATCAGATCTGAGGCTGTCATGCTAGAACTCAAAGCTTCAACTACCAAACATATGACACTAGAAGACACGTGAAAACTTCATGAGAATGGTCCAGATAGTTTGAAAAGTGAAGATTGATATTTTGATCTTAGTTGCGACCTATCATCTAACGAGCTCAAACGAGTACTTTAGGTCTCTTGTCTTTGACGTCGGCGTTACCCCAGAATTTTGCTCCCATCTCCCCAAGAATGCGTATCCAAGCATGCTTATGTTCGTAGCCGTGTCTGTTGTCTGGCAAGCCGGTTTGTCGGACCGTAACTTTTGTGAATCGTTCATCCGTCTTATCCGTATCGAACGAAATCAGCATATGTGAGTCGTAATTATCGGTCCACTGCGACTTCCAGGTATACTCGATGTTGTATGGAAGTTTTTGATTGTTAAGCTTGGTGAACTCGCCCCAGTGCCCCCAACAGCCTCCTCCGCCACCCATATCGGAGAAATTGTGGTCGTCCCAGGAATATTTTCCACCTAACTGGCCGTCGATGTGTCTCTCACCATCGCCAACCCAAGGCCCTCGGCTGTCGTTTCCATCTAACCAGACTTGATAAACCCGGTCCGGGCTAGCCATGATATCATGCTGAACTGTGAATTCCCACGTCGCCATTGTGATTCTAGGTCAAAGCTGTTGGTATATCGGTGACACGTCCAAAATCAATGAGCGCAAGGAGGGGTTCTGTATAAGCCTTTAACAAAAGGACCTCAGTAGGGAATAAGAGCATGAATTGACCTCTTGCGAGCACTTCACGATGTTTGTCGTTCCGGACATTGGCGCTAAGAGCGGAACGCAAGTGAGTTTGCGTTTTGTCGGATTTCGTTGTCAGTGGGGAATGCAATTGGTCTAAAGAGGGAAATACCGAACATCAAGACTTCAACTCCACATTTCCCCGGAAAATTGGCCTGGGCGGACCAACAACGGGTCGGACCAAAGCAGCAGATTCCTGGCGATAAGGCTAATCATCGAGGTGTGTCCATGGTGGGATTTTCCTTATTCAGAACATCATACCGTGAGTAGTTGTGTCTCCTGCGAGCAATCAATTCAGCCTCAGCAAGCCTGGACCGCCAGCACGTTCTGCCGACGGCAACAAGTCAAATCGCGTGATGAGTGGGACCCAACGATTGGCTTATTGTCTAGGAAGCGATTGGAGAGCTTGCAGCATATGAATCACTGCTGTGACCTCCACGACTTGTTACTGAGGATCCGGGACTTCTAGGCGGCAAGAGTGTTCAGAAATACATCGTTCTATTGTGATCTACTATTTCTATCATATTGTTGAACATTATGGGCTCAATGAGTGAGGAGATCCCTCGGTATGAATCGGACACGGTCGATGCAAGCCGACTAGGCGATCCCATAACGTTTGCATTCTCGGGCAAAACTGCACGCAACCGGTTCATGAAAGCAGCTATGACTGAGCAGCTATCATCATGGCACAAAGAAGAGCCGCAGAAGCGAGGAATTCCTACTGCGAACCTGTGCAGAGCGTACGAGCGATGGGGTCAGGGTGAGATTGGCATGGTAGTGACGGGGAACGTGAGTGAGTGAACATTTATGCAACTTCAATCCAATCAAAGACTCAATTTTGCTGATTCTAATTACAGTGATCTTCGTGGATCATCTTGAGTCGGTTGGAGATCCAGTGATCCCACCGGATGCACCATTTCATGGAAAAAGGTTCGAAGCCTTTCAAAGATGGGCTGAATCTGTCAAGAAAGGGGGTCATCTCATGGTGGCTCAAGTTTCTCATCCTGGGAGGCAATGTCATAGCTATTTTCAATCTCACCCAGTTGCTGCTTCTGCCATTCCTTACGACTTTAGCGGTCCTAGACGGCCGCTGAAATTCAATGATCCCCATGCTGCATCACAGGAGGAGATTGACAGCATCGTCGATTCCTTTGCTCATGCGGCTGAGTACCTAGAGAAAGCTGGATTTGATGGGATGCAGCTACACGCTGCGAACGGCTTTCTTCTGTCGGGATTTCTGAGCTCACTGACCAACCAAAGGACGGACAAATATGGTGGGGACATCACAAACCGTATGCGAATTCACCTCGAGATCGAGCAAGCAATTCGGAAGAGGGTATCCTCCAAGTTCATTCTCGGGATTAAGATCAACAGCACCGAATTTCAAGAGACTGCGTTCACCCCGGCGGAGGCCAATGCAGTCTGCCTAGCATTGGAGAAGCATCAGTTCGATTTTGTGGAGCTCAGTGGTGGTTCTTCTGAAAACTTGATGACAGGCAATCAGCACCAGGGCGAAACGGTGCGAGAAAGCACGAAGAAGCGAGAAGCCTATTTTCAGGAATTTGCCGAGAAAATCGTCCCAGGATTGACCAAGACCAAAGTGTATCTGACAGGAGGCTTGCGAACTGTTGGGGGGATGGTACGAGCTTTGGACACTGTGGATGGTATTGGGCTTGCTCGGCCACTGGTTCAAGAATTCGATTTATGCAAAAAGATATTAAACGGTGAAGTGACAGGAAGTGCCATTCCCAAAATGGAATTGGGAGAGTTTTGGTTGGCCCTGATGGCTGGAAATAGAGCCATTCGAGAAGTGGGCCAGGGTAAGGAGCCATTGCAAGTATGGAGAGAGGATGTGATCCAGGACCTTCGTCGAGGATATGATTTGTGGGTCGACAATAAGAGCTCTGACCGCGAGTATATCAGTTACTATGGTGTAACTTCGACTGAAGCTATGGAGCAGGGGAAGATGCCCCCATTCGCGTATGGTCTTTCATCGGAAGATGTTACGCAGCCTAGAGCGACGCTGTGAGGGGGTGGAGGGTTGGTGTGCCTGCTCAAGATGAGATTTTCTGAAACAAATCTACCGTTTAATTGGTATACAACACTAGTCAACTGTGTATATGGTGTAGATATTGTTGTATGGAGTGGAAGGAGGAGGGACTTAGGATAGTCCGGAGATAAATTCCACCGATCCGACAATAGTTACAAAGCAGCGTCACCTTCTTCCCAAAATGACTCTTGGCATGTCCCAGTCTGCACCTGCACGATTTGCCCTACCGTGCCTACCGTGCCTACCACGCCTACTCGTACCACGCCTGCCACTTGCGGCTTTCCCACTAGTCTCTCTTACGCGCATCTTGATCTGGCAATTCCGCGTACCCTAGCCAAAAAGTCGCATCGTTGCAACCCACCATCCACCATCCACATTGTCGTCGAGATCTACCAACCACCAGTAGCTGAAGGGTTCAAGATCCATCGCGCGTCGTTGGACCAACCCATACCTTCGAGGGTGGTCAAATCCTTCGTCCACGCCTGTCGAGGCACCTCCCCCCGTCTATCCGCATCCTCTTCATCATGCCTCGAAAACGCACCCACGATGAGATGGCGGCTGTAGAGCCTCAAGAAAACAAAGAGACGCCTTCTCTACTGAAAACAATCCGAAATATGTGGGAGTTTGCCTCTACAATGCAGTTCATATTCATGTTTGGAAAAGCTCTAAAGATAGACGAGGACTTTGATATTGAGGTTTGTTACCCCATCTCCTCAACGCCTCGTACTGCCTCGAGAGGAATGTCTGCGGAGTATTTATGATCCACGGAATCACTGACGATGACATTGTAGGATTTTGAGACGGAATGTTTGAAGCCTGGCCACTCGGAGAAACTGGAAGAAATAGGCCTGACCCTTCTGAAATGGATCTCATCTCATCGAGGTCTAAAGTGAGCAGTGCCTCCTGTGGTGAATATCTTGTCACTTGCTGATTTCTCTCCAGTCATGATATATGGGACGAATACACGCGACGACAATACCGCTCCAAGGCTCCCGACCGAAATCCCTACGGCGAAGACGAAGAACCTAAACGATTTCGAGATTTCGACATCTTCACCCGCGTAAGAATTCTACATCAGTTGACAGTCTGGACAATGTGGAACCCCGACCGCTTTCGAGAGAAGATGGTGGACCATCAACGTGAAGTGGACCAACTTGAATGGGTTTGTTTTGCTTCTATGCTAGTGCATTCCTCAGTGCTAACCAGATCTATTAGCGTATCGAGGAATTTGGTTATGACAAAGATGACCGACAATACTATCTCCTTGACGACAACCGCTTTTATCGACGAACCGAACCACCCATTCCCTCTGCTCCAAAGGCCAAACCGAAAGCGAACTCAAAGAAGGCCATTGCGGCGAGAAGAAGGGAAAGTAAACGCAGAAGGCTCCAGGCGGACACGCCTGACGTCGATGAAGACGCTGATACACCTGGCACCCCTGATCATGCGCCGAAACAGGAGGAAGACGTCGACCCTGCCAAGGTTGATACTTTTGGAGGCTATAAATGGGAATGCATCGCCATCTCCCTCAAAGACTACCAGGATCTATGTCTCTCTTTTGCAAAGAGTAAAGATCCCAATGAGAAGATGCTGAAACAGCGCATCGAGGACGAGGTAATCCCAATCATCCAACAAGCCCAGGAGCGCCAGCAACGAAAGATCGAACGGCGGGAGCGCGAATTATTGATGATGGAGCGAATGGTTGGAGCGAAGCGGTCGGGCCGCCTGGCAGATAAGCAAGATCGCGAACGACGAGAAGCTGAACAAGCTGAGGCAGACCGAAAACGACAAGCAGAGCTTCTGGCTGCGCACCGAGAGCAGGAAAAGCAAGAAAAGATGGAGCAAGAGAGACAGTACCGGATGATGACGCGCGAGCGGCGAATCAAAGAAAGAGAGTATAAAAGGATTCTCAAGAGAGAGGAACTCGAGAAGGATGCCGCAGAGCAGAGAAGAATCGACACAGGGGAAATCCGGGGCTCGGGCAGACATCTCCAGGATCGAATCGATCGGGCTAGAAGAGAGCTTGAAGCACTGTCAGCTGAAGAAGAGTGGACCTTTGATTGTTCTGGCTGTGGCAAATACGGCAGGAATTATGTGAGTTTCGCAGTTGATCCCTCCTATCATGCACATTCTAACTCGATCCAGGACGACGGTGCTCACAGTGTTGCCTGCGACAAATGTAGCGTTTGGCAGCATAGCAAATGCTTGGGCATCTCAAAATCTGCCGCAGAGAAGGACGATTTCCACTTTGTTTGCAATGACTGTAAGCGAAAGGAGGAGGAAGCCAAAAGACCAAAGATTTCTCTCAAATTCAAAGTCGGATCCTCTTCCTCGCCAGTTCAACCTAGCCCAGCACGTGACGCTTCGCAGACATCACCCTCTGTACAGAAACTCGTCACAGTGGAAATCCCAAGCCAGCAAGTCAATGGCACTGGTCAAAGCCATGTCAATGGCGTCCAACAGCAATCATCATCTCCGCCTCGACATCAGCCAAGCTCGCCTTTTCATCCACAAACCTCTCCAACGATTGCTCAGGCGCAGTACCAACCTATGCAGATTCAGCAGCAACATCAACAAGCACCGTCGCGTCCAGACGCTTTAAATGGCCACACGGTCCCGAACTTCAATCTTCACGGGAATCCCGGACAATCGACAGGGTTTCCTTCCATACAACCTCGGCCATCCATAACCCAACCTGCACATGGAAATCCTCCAGTTGTGTCTCCATCGTCTCAACATCCTTACCAGCGACCTCCTACTCAATCCACAACTTCATCTAATCCTCCCTCCCAGTCGTCCCCTCAAAGACCAGCTCATCCATCCGTCAATGGCCAGACACCGTTGGCAGCCATTACACCAAGGCTCCCATCTCCTGTCCTTAACCGCCCAAGCATGTCCCCAACGCAAGGAAACATGGATGTTGGCAGTATTGCAGGGGTGCCTCAAAAGCAGTCGTCGCTCAATGGGCACGACAACGTGATGAATGGTGCCGCATCCATGCATGCCACGCCACGCTCGTTCAGTCAGAGTCGTTCTCCACCTTTACATACCCCAGTACAACATCACCAGCCACTGTCTGGCCTTTCACCAAAGAAACAGATGACACCTATTCCGGCACCTATATTGTCTGCGAACCTCACTGTGAAGAAGTCAGGCAGTATGTCGCCTCCGCCTCACCTCTCGAGCCAGTTCCCACCACCGCAGGCAAGCAGGGATCAGTCAGTGGCAACGGAACGACGATCTGTCTCGGGAACACCGATTGTTCCACCAATTGAGAATCTACGACCGAGCCCAGAGCAAATGAGAAACATGAGCAGCAATATCAATGACCCCGTACCGACACCGAGCAAACAGCAGTATGCGGGTCAGGGGTACGAACCTTCACAGGCGATGACTAACAATCCAGAAGATCAAGCATAAGGACTAGGTATTGCCCATATCAACGGTAGCAGTCATGCCTAGGCAGTGGGATCAACCAGAATACACTCGGTGACTCCTCTTTTGTAGAGGGCAGCTATTATTAGCTAAAAGGCCACACATCATCCATGAACCCACATGATGCATCCTTACCTCGCACCATCTATAGATGACCGACTGTACAAACAGTATTTCATTTTTACGTTGTACAGAAGTTGAGGCATACCTCACGACTTGGCGTTTTGACATTGGCTCTTCTTGATATGACGCATGGTCGGTTTTTGGTACTGGCTTTCAAGGAAGAAAGACCCAGGAATGGAGAGCTGTATGGACATGATAGAAGCATTGGCTAGGATTGTATAGATTACCTAGTCTGAATTCTCCTTTGTGGCGAATCAACTTATTTCTCGTACTGAAATTGTTTTGATTTCAATCTGCCAATCATATACCCTCCATACCTTTGAATCACCGTTGATGTTGGTATTTTCTTTTTCACTGTTGTTAATGAAGCTGACGAGGCTGCAACACCATAGGCAAGCATGTCGATGTGAACATACCTTACTTATGAGTGTCCAACTTCTCACTATGCAATCTACGTTCAAAGGCGCCTTTGGAGCCAGGCACATCCCTCTCAAAGGCGCTTATGCAAGCGCTTGCACAAGCGCTTATGGATGACAACCAAGCAGGTTTCTCAACCTTGACTACGGTACTTGACGGCTTCCAGGAAAACTCGTTGAAAGGTCTACCCTAGGAACATCACACGATAAGGTAGTACTCGACAAGAACAAATGAAACAAACATTGAGAGTTGAAGGAAGCCGTGGGAGCAGGGAGGAGCACATTGCTGTTCTTGGCATGGCATGCCTTGGCACTCACGTGGGTGTCTCCCCTTTCTGTCAGCCTTGCCATGGCAGGCAGCCTGATGTCCCGGGCTTATCCGTCCTATGAGGTTGAACAATTCACATGCTTTGAGCGGAGCAGCAACCGGCAAACCGAGTCCGGTGTCATCGACAGCGTTATGCAAACCCCTCTGCACTCATCAATGGAGGTTACTTGCTCCATAGGGCGTAGCTAGGAGTGGAGAAATGAGGTTGTAGCCCGAACAGCAGAAGAAAGGCTGAGAAGCACTCCGTGGAACAGAAGTGTCCGTGAGGCTGAGGGTGAGGCTGGCATCTCACCGAGGTGGCATGTGATGGATGTGGCAAGGGGACAGCAAGTCCACACTGACTCGCCTGAGTCAAGCTTGCCGAAGCGGCGCATGACCCGGAAATTGGAGCCTGAACTAATCAAAACCTGGAATTGTATCTTCGAGAGCGACATGAATTCCACCTACGACGGCGGCGTAACCGTGGAGTTTCTGATAAATGACAACAATTTGAATCGACGATACTTTGTTTTTTCTGCCGGAGTATCCGTTGGAAGAACGCAAGCGGAAGTCCGGACTAGTGGGTTTCGTGTGGTGTCCAATGATAACACACTGGCACGACCGGACTTGGTTGTGGATCAGCGGCCTGATCAGCCTCTACGACCGGACATCAACAAAGGGCGATGTTGGCCCCCGTGGGCTGAGACACTAGAGAACAACACAGAGAAGACAGGTGTAAGGAGTTGTATGAACTATTGGAGATACGTTGTGGAGACAGAGGAGTGATGTAGAGAGAAATCTTGTAGGGAGGGCTGAAAAGAGAGGGGATCTTTCCTTGGCACCACAGCGGCGTATTCTCGCTGCTCTTGACCTTTTGACCTTGTCAGCCTAGGCCACAGCTTCAAACTTCCAGAATGTATAACAGGATGAGGGTTTGAAATCCCTACTATGGTACACTATGATTGTAAATTGTAAACAGTCCCTTTACTAACAGTCTAGTGGGTTCCGAGAAGCAGGATGATTTGTCATGTTGAGATGTGTTCCTAACGATGGCTATTTACTGGCCCGGAATTCCATAGTCCATGAGAGTTTGAAACCACATCTGGATTTGGACAGCTTTCCTTCGTTTCCACCTGATATTTCTCTTGCTGGACCCAATTCCTGTCAAGGATGAATGCTGTATGATTGAGGAGCGGCTTGTGCTGGCTGATCAGACAGCACGAACCTTGAAAGGCAGCTCTCAGGATCTGCTGTCAACACCACATCCATCAGAGCTATGTAAAGGTCACCACCCCTCAAACAATTTCCATCCTCTCTGTCACTATGGAGCCCGCTACTTCTTCCTCGCCTTCCGTACAACCTGAAAAGACTTTGTCTCGATCTCTTGCCTATCCGCACTGTCTACGGCAGCCTCTGCAACATCACATCATCTCCTCCCTCTGCGAGCCGACACTTTCTTCAAGAACTCTCAACGACTTGACAGCTCCAAGCCGTATCACCCCCTTTCTCTGTCGTCTGCTCGTCTAGACGTCCGTCATCCTCTCAGCCCCTTCGCGTGGAAATGATTTCTCTCAACCTATTTTCGGCCTTGGCCATCAGTGGTCTTGTTTGCCTCATCAGCGCAGCCCCTGCTACGACACCTCTTGTTTGCGAGCCTGGGTGGCCTTCCGAGACAGGGAACTATGGTTCCCGGAACATCAGTGAATCAAACACCGTTTGTTGTCGTCCAACAGTTGAGTGCTTCGACTTCTTCCACACGATCAAATTCGAGGTTATATATCCCTCACAACTCCTGATCGACGATTTAGAGGATTGGAAACGAGCCGAGTGCTGTATAAGGGACTTCATCAAGCCCAAATCCTGGTGTCCGGACCCTCCCGTACGCGGGTCGGACTGGATCTGGTCTGAACCTCCGCTTTGTTCGAAGGTTTCCTAGGGCATCCCGTGTGTCAAGGATCTTGTTGAAGCATGGGTGTTAGGAATTTGTTCCGGGTTGAATGGGACTGAATTTTCTTGGTGGATAACTTGGTTCTCGGTGCTTTTCATTTGAGCGAGGAGGAGCCAGAGAGAGAAGTATCAGCTTTGCGGATTGACGTAAATGCTAACTTGGAAGGGCGGTGGACGTCAAAGTGAGTTGCGCTTTGATGGAGTACCCGATGTGTTGATGGAGTGCCCAATCTGTTGATGGAGTGCCCAATCTGTTGATGGAGTGCCCAATCTGTTGATGGAGTGCCCAATCTGTTGATGGAGTGC